CGAGGGCTGGTGGAATGCTGGATCTCAGATTCAGCACCTTGTTTTCAAAAAAGTGGAGAAATATGTTGCAGACATCAGCTGAAGATAGCTGAGCCTGCTGCGGAGGAGAAGACACGATGCTGGAGATGGTATCAAACAAAACCTTAGGATTATTCTTATTTTGACATATGAGGTTGCTGAAGAAAGAAGGCCTGGCATTTTCTACAGCTTTGTTGTATGACTCGAGAAGTTCTTTAAAATATTCACGATGAACAACCAGACCTGTCCTCTTCCACCGTCGTTCCGCTTTTCTATAGGAGCGTCTAAGTTCAAGAATCTGGTTGTTCAGCCAGGGTGAACTGGAGGCACTGGAACTGCGGCTGGTTTTGTAAGGAGCGACCTGATCTAGAATTTTGAGGCAGTGATCATTAAATGAGTTGGTAAGGAGCTCTACGTCATCAGAGGAAGGAGGTACAAAGTCAAAGAGGGAGGAGAAATTTAAAATGGTAGAACTGTTGATAATACGTCGTTGCTTAGCAGAGTCTGGTAAAAGAGATTCAGAATTTAGGTTAATATGAAAAGAAACTGACTTATGATCACTGAACACAACATCATGTATCTGCAGCTTATCAACAAGAAGTCTGTAGGAAAAGACCAGATCCAGGGTGTGGCCTGCTCTGTGAGTGGGACCAGACTAGGGTCATCACGGTGTGAAAATGTAACCTCACGGTTATTGTGACCAAAATTACCACGGTTTTCGGTATTATCGCGGTATTTTTTAAACGTGCTACATTTTCAGACAATTAAATAAACCCTGTATGTCAGGAAATATTGTCCTCAGTTTGTGTCTAAATTTTGTCTAAAATGTGTTATTTTGTAATTATGTTGTTTATTTGTTTATATTTTTCCCCTTTAGTCTTTAAAATACCAATATTTGCCCATAACTTCTTATTTTATGTCTGTTTGATGTCATCATTTAAAAATATTAGATCAGATGATACTCAGTACTCAAGTAGCCTTCTAATCAGATACTTTTTTACCCTTACTTGAGTAATAAACCCTATATCAGGAAAATATTGTCCTCGGTTTGTGTCCTTCCAGTGAGCTTTGCAGATGTGGGAAAATGTCATCAGGCAGTAATCGTTGTTAAATTCATAATTATTCTCGGAGAGAGACCAACTCTTATCTGCCCCTGGGAGCCCCGTAATGCATAGTGTCATTTCAACATGGCGGTGTCCGCGACACGGTTTACATGCAGGTAGCGGCGCTGCGGCTGCTTTATATAGCGACTCGTTGCATTCTCCCTCAACCCAAATCCTCGGATCACGCATTTTAGCTAAAACGCTAACGTTAGCTTGCCTTGCGTTGACTGTAGAGTTGTGGGTGATGGTCACGCAGATGTGTCATGAGATTTGAAGCGTTGCTGCCTTTCACAGACTCTTTTTCTGCTCGTGCTGCAAACAGGATAGCCGTCTTCTATCAGCTGTCCCTCGGCATTCTTCACATATCTAAAATATGCCCGTACTTCTGACTTTGTCTTCTCTGAGGGATAATAAATGTCCTGAGCGCTGCCGTCTCCTCCTTTGGCCATTATTTCAGCTTTAGCTTCAAGAAAGTTTTGGTTGTAAACAACAAAGTGCGCATGTGCCGCCGGCCACTTCAGCAGATGATACGGTGGCTGGTAAGGGTCACCGCGCCTACACCGCAGCCACGCTAATCCACCAAGATATGACATTTTTTTTAAAACAAGACGGTTATTGTTATTGTCAACTTTTTTACCGGGGTTTACTGCTACACCGGTTACCGTGACAACCCTAGTCCAGACACGTGTTGAGAGAAGTTAAAAGAGTTCATCATGTTTAGGAACTCTCTAGTTAAGCTGTTAGATCCTCAGCACGGATGTTGAAATCTCTCTTAGTGCAACTTTCCTTCCAACATGTGAGCCATCAGATTGTTTTGTGATTATTACACATTATTACATATCCTTACATATTGCTCCTTTAAGTAAAAACAAAGCAAGTACTCCTTCCACTACTCCTCCTCCAGAGTAAAATTACCATTCCAGGTCTGAGAGAAGTGGCCTCTACGTGCCAAGATAAACATAATTACTACCAGCAATCCATCAAGCGAAGTCCGATCCGCAGCCACGGAGGTAACAAGGTTTGAAGCCGACTGAGGTGTCAGAATTAGACTTTCTAGAGGAATGAAGCGTCTTCCTTAGCTGAATTCAAGCTCATGCAAAGCAGCATAGATTTGCCTGTGCCTGTTGTGAGCGGTACAGGAGAGCATGAGCAGAGCTCCTCTGGGTGTGACTGAATATGGAAGTCTCCTGCCTGGACGGCCCGCCAGCTGGCTATCCGCCCAGCGCCTGCCAGGCAGCACACTGCCGTTGTCCTTTAGTTGTTTCAGGGTGATCTGAGAATTAAAATAGGCAGGATGACTTATTTCCCCCCCCCCCCCCCCCCCCCCCAAGGACAAAGAACAAGAATCATTTTCAACATTAAGCGCACAATACAGCTAATTAAGATTGAAATGATGTTGGAGCTTGAGCTGAGAGTTGAGCAGTCCCAGAGCGTTCCCATTCTGTTCCAACATTAATGAATACCGGCTAACAGGACTAAAGGAGCGCTGTGTTAATAGATCTGACTAGCTATGAAGCAGCAAAGCTCTTAGTGTCAGTTAGCATTATGCAACAAACGGCAATAATATCACTCCCAAGAAACGCGTGACCAGGCTCAGATGTCACTCCCCGAGTCTACTCAGGTCTCACAGGCTGGAGCTCCTGAACAGTCTCAACAGAAGGAGGCCATGTTTGTTCCTGGCTGCACCAGCAGAGAGCTCTGTGCAGTGGCCCTTCTCCAAAAGGTGCCATCTGTTCCCCCCCTGAACTGGGCCCAGTCACACCAGTCATCTCTCCTACGATGGGACAGTGGAGGGGTTGAGTGACCCAGCAGGCCTCAAGAATAAACCAGCACCTGTTTCCATCAGCACACATCACTCCCCAGCATCCCGCTGCTTCTTCAACCACCTCCATGCCAACAACGAGCTGCAGGTAGAGTGTGCTCTTTCTTTCTGGGAAAGGAAAAACGCAGAGAAGAGCGCTCTCTCCTTGCAAAGGGAACGTTATTACGAGGCTTGAGAGGTGTTCAGATCCAAAGCTCTGGGAAGATCTGTGTTTTTGCTCCGCTGCTGAGGTCACTCCAAGTCCCTGTTGCCACATTTACATGAAACAGTGAAGCAAAAGAAGGAAGCTGTGTGACACACACACACACACACACACACACACACACACACACACACACACACACACACACACACACACACACACACATCATCTAAGGCACATATGTCAGAGTCAAGGCCCGCGGAGCATTTTTATGTGGCCCGCGAGAAAAATATCAAAAATATATTAAAACTGGCCCGCTGGCCGATTTTACAGCAAAGACTTCAACTCCCATGATGCTTTGCGCCGTCAGCGCGGAGCCGACGAAGCCCCCTCCTTTGTGTTTTTTCAGCGCCTGCTGCCGGTCTCTGCAGCTCCGCTGTCTCGGACAAACTAAACACTCCTCTCACTCAGCGCCGAGTTCACTCAGCTGTTTTCTGACGTTGAAGCCCAGAAACGGAGATTCTAGCCGCTCAGTAACGTGTTCACGACTGAAAGAGAAAGTTTTTCAACTAACTTCCAGACAGAGCTGATATAACTCCAGCGAACAGCGACACGCTCAAACCAGCACGGCTCTGTGGCTGCTGTAGTTGTTATTTTTCCTCCCCGACACACAACAACGTGGTCAAGCTGCTCAGACATGTTCAGCAGCACAAACCTATGTGAGCACCTGTTGTCATCTAATGTTGTCATTATTATGATGAAGATGAACAAAACAACAGGAGTCTCCTCCTCAGCTCAGATCAACCCCATGATGCAGGTATCTGGCTGGAACAGGTGAGCATCACAGTAAACCAGTGGAGCAAACTGAGCTTTAAATATGTTGGTTTGATGCTCTTTTTCTGCTCCAAAACATGAAAGTTAACAGGTGAGATGTTGCATTTTCATTTAAGATAAAATGATATTTTATTTTGTTGTTGGCCCGTGAGAAAAGATTTAACCTACAGTAAACAGGAAGTGGAAAGGCTGCAGATAGATGAATAGAATAGAAAATCCCTTTATTGTTCCTCAGTGGGGAAAGCTAGACGTCACAGCAGCGATGACACGTATTACAGGAGAAAAAAAGGAGAATAAAAATAAGAAAAATGAATAAACAAGAAAACATAAATCCTGAATAGATTTATAAAATACTGATTATACCACAAGTAATGAATACCAGTGATGCCTTTTATTTAAAACTGACTTGCTCGTGTGTAATTTGTTTATTCCACATTCAGTGTTAATGCAGAAATATGTTTGTTTCCTAATTAAAAGGTTCAAAATTGCATACATGTTGATAAAGAAAATGTGCAAATTTGCCGTCACTTTTTCAAAAAATATTAAGTTCGGCCCTCGACTCCGTCCCAGAGTTTCATTTCGGCTCCTTGTGAGTTTGAGTTTGACACCCCTGGTCTAAGGAGCAGCATTAATACTTTCTGACCTGCTGAGTGACCTCACCATGCGTCAGAGCCAACATGAACCAGTTCTACTTAATTCAGCACTTCTTGATCTCTATGAAGTTTGATTTTCACACCCGATGTGTCGTCGATGATAAAAATCTGGCATTTTTGAGATGATTTGGACTCGAGGCAGCAGCTGCGAGCTCTACAGCTGAAACAGGGCAACGTTTATTCAACCAACCAGGGGAAGGACGAGAGTAAACACATGAATCACTCTGGGTTTTTTCTTTTTACCCTTGCAAAAACAGACCCTGCTTGATGTGCTCATGAATATCTGATCTGATATCAACCTCAACTAAGACTTTCATGACTAAAACAAAGCGTTTGGCTCCCATTTTCTGCACAAGTTAAACCAACATTATGCAAAAAAACAAAAAATAAATAAAAACATCATTGATATAAGGAGCCGTCATGCTCACCAGATTTAGAGACCTTTTCCATTAGACCCATAAAAACTGAAGGTGATGTCCTGTGAGGCACCGTGGTAACAAACCTAATGCAGGCTCACTATCCCGGTGCATTAAACTCACCAGCCACTTGTTGAGCCGTACTCCAAACCACCTGACAGCAGAAAGCTGCAAAAAAACAACAGAAGCCATAAAACCCTTCTCTTGTGCTCCTTGGATTTGCAAAAGAAAAAAAAAATAATTACGGAGACATTCGTGACCAACGAATGAAGGGAAACCAAAAGTCTGGCGACTGTGGAAGTGTGACTTTTGTGAAACGCATACAGCTGGCTCTTAACGCACACTTCCCTCCTCCTGTGACGAACCCACCAACTGCTGAATGAGCCTGAAGCATTAGCATATGTGAGGGAAGGTAGGTGGCTGTGCTGGAGGGGTAGGAGGGAAAGCTGAGTGTTGGTGTTTCGGGGGAAGGGATAGACCGTGACATTCAAAGCTTGAAGGCTGACAGAAAGGACACCCAAAAAAAATGGGGGGGGGGGTTGCCCATTGTTCCCGGGAAAAGATCCCCTAGGTCAAGCCTGTGACCTTCCAAGGTTTTTGTGATGGATGACACACGAGGCAAAGGAACACAGAAGGTCCCACTTATCCAACCCCTGCCCCGTGAGCTCCCGGCTGGTAGAAAAGGTCCGTGTGACAAATTGAACCAGCAACCGTGGTCACCTCCAACACGCTGAGAGAAGTTGGAAGACCAGACTATGGAAAGGATTCACGCTGCTTTTAGAACTGATGATCCCAGCTCTATGCTCCACATACACCCGGCTCTGCAGATGTGACTTTGGCAGAAGCTGGTGAAAAGCAGGGCTGCACGACATTTAAAATAAATAAATAAATAAATAAATAAAGCTGCTGCAATGCCACTGCTCCAATCTGCAGCAGGGAGCCTGTGTCTCCTCCCTTTCTGGTCGGCTCATGGAAGAACAAATAAAGGAGCTGTTTAGATTCGGCCTCCATAGAACAATTTCCACTTTTTCATTATTTCCATATGTGGAACATAAGACGATGAGAGTCCATCCTACAGGTAATAATACTAGTAGTAGTAGGAGTATGATTACATTTGAGTCAGAACCTCGCCCCTGACCTTCTCCGAGTCTGGGACGAGGTCCTGCCCCAAGCGGAGGAGTTTATGTATCTCTGGGTCTTGTTCACAAGTGAGGAAAAAATGAAGCGCAAGATCAACAGGAGGATTGGTGCTGTGTCTGCGGTGATGCGGGCGTTGTACCGGTCTGTCGTGGTGAAGAGAGAGCTGAGTGAGAAGGTGAAGCTCTCGATTTACCGGCCGATCTATGTTCCTGCCCTCACCTATGGTCACGAGCTTTGGATAGTGACCGAAAGAACGAGATCACAAATACAAGCGGCCAAAATTATTTTTCTCACCATTGTACCTTCCAGGTAGGGATGGGTACCTTTGACATTTGAATCGATCCGGTACTAATTGCCGGTACCTAGGAATCGATACCGGTACTTAACGGTACCAATTTTCGATACTTTTGAGTGTTTATTATTTTAATTCTCTTTTATAATTAAATATATATTTTTCCCAATATATAACAATATTTGATAAATATCACGATAAATAACATACAACTGTTTGTATTTTAACATCGTCCTTGTAGTTTTATAAGCTGATAATTAAACTGAAGCAAACATCTTTACTGTGAACTAAATTTACTGTGTATCTTCATTCCTTTCATTTGATTTTTCCTACTGGGAAGTTAGAATTTCCAAGGAGAAAGCGAACGCACCATTAGCTGATAACAATGGTAGCAATGGAAGCTAACATATCAAGCTAACGTTATCTTAAACAGTTTATTTAGCTGCTGGAGCAGATTAAAACGATGCCTCACACTTAGATCGCTGTCACTGGTTTCGTCTTCACCCAATCACCCGTCACATTTAGTAAAGTGAAGCCAAACTTTAGAGCGCGTTCATGTTCTTCTAGTTGGGAATTCGGAGTTCCGAGGAGAAAGCGTACGCACCATTAGCGAAACGGAAGCTAACATATCAAGCTAATTATATTTACCTACCGGAGCAGATTAAGATGAGGATGTCTCACTTAGATCGTTGTCGCTGGTTTCATCATCACCCAGTTACCCATCACATTTAGTGAAGTGGACTCAAGCTTTAGCGTGCGTTCTTTCTACCATGCTGCTCTGTTTACAACTGGATCGCAGCGAGCGACGACATAACACTCTTGCGCATGCGCAGCTGTCTTGGCAAGTTCTCGTTATGAAGGACGGGTACCGAAACGAGGCACCGTTTGAAATGACGTGAATCTGTGCTCGGTCGGTACTATGGAATTCGGTCGGTACCTTAAAAAGTACCGAATTCGGTACCCATCCCTACTTCCAGGTAATTTTACCAGATCTTTGCAGCTCAAGCGTCTCTCCATTTCAGAGGGGCGGTCCAACTGAACCACGTTCTAGGCCATTTCAGGAACCAAGTACCTGAACTAGGTTGTACGCAGAAATGACTTGGTAGGGTTGCTGGGTAGGTCTGGCGGTTAACTCATGCTGACTGGTTGTAACTCGGTAGGAAATGAGTTCAGCAGACACAACGTGCATTTGTAAAACTGAAAAAGTTTCTGCAGCGGAATGGAGGAAATAGAAAAGAAGCATTGTTGGGGGTGCTTTAAAACCACATTTCTAAACTCTCTGAGCCAGAAAACGTGGCAGAAACCTCCATGCCGCCACAATTGTCGCAGCTTTGCGGTCTCCTACAGACACTAAAGGAAGCGTTTCTACTAGGGATGCAACGATACCACTTTTTTCAAAACCGATACGATACTTGGATCTGAGTATTCGTCAATACCGATTACCGATACTTCTACTACACAAAAACATGCTATGCGTTGGAATACAGGTTTGTTTCTTCTCTGCTTCCAACAGGAAAAGACTGTGAGGTAGATAAAAAGTAAAATATATTAATAGAAATAATCATAAAACTAAAATATTAGGTGAACAGAAATGACAAGTTACAGTGGAGCCACTTTCAGGCAACTGCACTGGTATCAGTTACTGGTATCTGTTAACTTTTACTGATACCGACAGTATCGGTATCGGTGCATCCCTAGTTTCTACTGGTCATTGAATGTCACTGTTACGTAGCACAGCCGCTCTCCAGGTCCCCCAAATAGATTAAATAATGACGCACTTTAACAGAATAAAGTCTTTTTAGAGTTATTAACGTCTGCGACCGCCTTTTGGTGCTGCTCAGGAACGTGACTCACTGCCTGTTGAGTCACGATGCGCCGTCGTCCTGAAAGGACCGACGTTGTATGGAGACACAACAGCTGAGACGATCGAGCCAGCGTATTTTCCCTGTCACCTTACTCCCTTCCAGAAAATTACCGGGACTCCTACACTGGAAACCGGGGCTCGTGAGGCTGAGGCCAAAGATAAATGACGTGCTGCCTCACGTCCTCGGGTAAAACCTGCCCTTAAACACGTCGTAAAGTACGCAGCTGACAGCTTTTAGCCAACGCGTCAGTCAACAGTTTGATCAGTTGCTGCTTGTTGATGGGAGTTGCCACCCGCCAGCGTGTGACTGCCAAGGACTCCTGATGGAAGCCCGTGAAAATGCAGGTGACATGTTAGCACAGAGAAAACTTCAGAGGCTTGTTGGTGCAAGTCGCCTTTATCAGCTGCACAGGAGAAAATCGATGGCCAGCATGGTAATAAGCCGCATGTGCAAGCTGCAACAAACATATATTTACACAAAGCCAGTCACAGCTGAGTAGGTCAGTGCTTCCTGGACAAATGAGGGCTAAATAAAGAGGCAACTAATAATTTGATTATACATTCCCCTCCCTCATATAATGTTGTATAATTGAGTTTCAGGCAGCTTAATTAGAAAACCGTAAAAACCGTGTCATTCCAGCCACGTCCTGATGAATGCCTTGCTGTGCCTGTTTCAGGTTGGAGGCAGGAAGGTGTTAATAGCAGGAAATGACAGACTTTAATCAAGCTGAATGAATAGCAGCTACTACGAGTCTGTGTGGCACAGCCTGCTTTGATCCAGCCTCTGCAGGCAGGTTCTCAGCCGAGATCTGAGTGATCCCTAGAGGGCTCTGTTTGAAGAGTGGGAAGCCCCAGGAGGTAACACTTAAGGGTTCTTCTCACTGCATCCCAGCGAACAGACGGGCCATTCATCAGGCCCACACATATGTGCAACAGGGCCTGTGGAGAAGCAGTGCTCCTCTGCCCTTTGATGACCAGGTCACGTGGGTGATTCACACATCACAACAACACAAACGGATTCTTGTACAATAAAATAAGCTTGTAAAAGAAAAACAATTCTTTATAACTTGGATTGTAATCGCCATGGGAATCAACTTCAAAGGATTTAGCCAATGAAGAGTAAACGGCTTTCATCAAGCCACATTTACCTGAAACAGTGAAATACACAGGCATGATATAATTTGAGTGATTCACGGGTTCAGAGACTCGAGTGAATTTCCTGCTGGGACTTTACAGACTTTTAAATTATAGGTTAGCTTTCAACTTAATTCCAATTGTGCAAATTAGATGTGCACTTATAGCAGAATTAAATGAATAGTTTTAGGAATATACAGAGAAATCCTCAAGAAAAAGAGTTTAAGAACAGCTACAGAGCTTAAAGAGAGTTTTCACCTACAGGCTGTGTTTCTGTCTAAATCTTACAAATAATTGCCATCTTGAGCCGCATGAATGGCTTCTGTTTGGAGAAACAGAGTTTAAATCCCAGAAGATTGATGAGCTAAAGGCTAGTCCAAATGCAACCATTACGTCATTCCATTTTTTATGGTATTGATGCTATAAGTACCCAATATTTATTCATATGGATGTCATTTATGTTTTGTATTCTTTTCATTCTAGTTTAGACCTTTCTTAAGTTGTGACTGCTACTTCCAACCTTTTTCACTTTTAATTTTCATTATCTTATGTTCTTTAAGGTTTCCGTGACAAATAAAGGAATCTCCCTAAATGCTATCAGCAACCGTTTGGTGCAACCAGACACCAAGTCCTGCAGAAATGTAATCTATCTGTAAAAAAAAAAAGCATTTGATGCAGCACTAGTGGTGTAACAGTTTCACATGGAGTGCTGCTTTAACGCAGAGCTTCACTAAAGCCTCTTTTATAACACACACCATGCCGGCAAATCGGCGTTATATTACCGTAATGGTATGTCTATAAACGCGCCGTGCCGGCATGGCGTTGCACGGATATTGCGGCATTCGTTCCGCCTCGCTTGGTAGTAATATTGCGGTAATGGTCTGTCGCATGCGTCCTGGCGCAACAGAGGCGGATGTCATGATGAAGTGGGGAGTTATTGCTGAGCTCCGGCTGGCAAATTTATTGAAAATGAAAGTAAACACAAGCAATAAGGTTTGTTTTTTGAACAAAATCAGCTGAGACGGCAAACTGGAGCGCCACAGAGCTCCACGAGCCTCTCTGTTAGAGCTGAAGCTCAGATCACCAGAGACTGCACAGGGACCGATGGGGACAGACGCCTTTGGCCCTGTCCACACGTCGCCGGGGATCTGCCAACACGTAGATATTTTTCTACGTTTTGGGTGTCTGCGTGTGGACAGACAAAACCGGAGTTCTAAGGTCCGCAACGTCACTTTCCGCAACAGAAAAATGCTGACATCACGTGTGCGACTTGTGTTCACACTAGCCGACATCATGGATGCCCTCAGAGCTGCGCTCGCTTTATCAATCGTCCAAGCGCTTTTTGCTTGTTTGTTTTTGCAAGAGGAATTACTGCTCCTTGCGGAAGACCACAGACGAAGGACGAGGTTAAGAACGGGGGAAGTACTGCCTCCTACAGGTCTGGCATGTCCTTAACAACGTATTTATCCGGGTACGTGTGGACTAGGCCTTTAGGAGCTGCTTGTTAAAAAAACTTAACGATCGCGGCTTCAATCGCAATAAAAAGCAACTTATGTCCAAGATAAACGGAAGTCTGCGGCAGCGCAGAGACCGCCCCCATACCCCCTTTATGCCGCCATCACCTAATCTTCTATAAATTTACCACGATTGCGCCACATTACCGCCACGGTCTGATCTTCTAAACGCCCTTTATCCTCCCCAGGGAGTCGCAGCAAATCCCATTTCTCAAAAACGCTCTGGTCCTGTAAAAACTGCTTAAGAAACGTATAAAACTTGTTTTTCTAAACAAAATCGGTCATGCTGAGTTTAACCAATACTTGGGGAAGCACTTGGGTCAGAAAAAGCCAGTCTCTTCTACAACACAGGGAGATATTAGCCATGGTTGACTCAACAACCTTGGCTTGCAACTGCAGAGGGATGTGTTGATTTAGCGGCCAGGAGAGAGAGGAGAGCATCTTGACCAGTAGAAGTTAACCAGAAGCAGTAGCAACTCTATAGGGAGCCTAAAGCTGTTTTTACAGGACCAGAGCGTTTGCAAAACAGGATTTGCCGCGGCTCCCCGGGGAGGATTTTGGCATTTATAGTAGCAAAGCTGAAGCTAGAATAAACTGCCATCAGGCACCTCTCAAACCAAGACGGGATAGAGGGAGGTCGCCACCCCC